TCAATTCGTCCTTATATTATGTCAATTTTCGTTATATTATGTCAATTCGTTTATATTATGTCATTCGTCGTTATATTATGTCAGTCGTCGTTATATTATGTCAGTCGTCGTTATATTATGTCAGTTCGTCGTTATATTATGTCAGTTCGTCGTTATATTATGTCAGTTCGTCGTTATATTATGTCAGTCGTTGTTATATTATGTCAGTCGTCGTTATATTATGTCAGTACGTGATTCTATATTGTAAATCATGTGCACATGTATGCCATAAGTTTAATGCATATACCCAGAGATCTGGAGTACAGATACTATCAAATCCTTCGAAACACTGCATTACGCACTGGGTTATCCCGATCCACTTAGTGAAAATGATGGCGTAGTTGCACACAAGACTACTAGTATTGCACTGCGTTCCTGTGTATCTGTGTCGTTGTTGCAATAACACAATGTATTACATTGATATCATGAAGCGAACCAAGAGTCTTTCAGTTCCATAAGTTATTTGTTGAACTTGAGAAACAGAAGGTTTTGTATATGTATAGCATACCGTGCTCTACTTGTGTTGATAAATGACGCTATTCTATGATAAAACATAAATGTATTAACATATATTGAACACAAATATGTATGGTTATATTATATGTAGGGTTGTTCCGCTTTGTCAAGTATTAGTCACCTTTAGTTTAGAGTTAATATTTCCTAAACACAGCAACAGTGCCCTGTGCGATTTTAAACACTACTTAATAAAACATTGCCATATAGACATGAATATCTGCAATGAATCAACTTGATCATTAAATTTGGTTATGGATAAAACCAATTTGATTTACTGATTGTAACGAGAAATCTGTCTACTGTCCTAATAGTGGGTATTAGTATTTCATAAAATATTGGAGGCAACACTCCTCCATTGACTTTGACAGTATATGAATTATACTAATAATGTTCTAATGTGAATATGTTCTAATGCCTCGAATTTGGCCGATTTGTTTATACCGATCAATATGTTGAAATTCCTTACATTTACAGGTTCAAAACAAGTTTCTCTCGTCTATAAAATGTCTTTGTGAACTTTTCAACTGTTTTTCGAACATATTTCTCCTTATTACCAATTTATAAACATTACCAGTCATCGTGGCTATAATTTTGCATATTTACGATTTGCCCACATGTGTCAGGATTTCTTCAACTTTAGATTCAAAACCCTAAATCCATTAAACACGAAATACCTTTGACATAATTACAATAGTTTCGAGTTCGAATAATTTGAAAACGCGTTATTTTCAAATGTTTACAAGTCTCATGAAAACATCTAATGATCTATAAGTTCATTCTATGATGTCAGAATATCAAGCAATTAATACGAATACGACATTGTTTGAACACGACATTTGTGATTGAGCAAATTCTGGCAGACCTGAGTATACTAAAGTCGAATGAATGAATGAATGAATGAATGAATGAATGAATGAATGAATGAATGAATGAATGAATGAATGAATGAATGAATGAATGAATGAATGAATGAACAGTTGTATTGTATCCGCAATATTGATAAGCATATTTCAATAACACATTTCTGCATACAAAATATGTTTAACATGTAAATTTCATACATTTTCTTTTTGAGTTTTTATGTGCCATCCAGAACATGTGGACACCAAACACCGTCTCCTGGTTTGAGTAAACCCAATGATTCAGTTTTCACTACACTTTGATGACTGTTCTCACTTAAATATTGCTTCAATTGTGTTATCGAATTAAATCGACAAACATATCCAAGTATCTATATTATCTTCCACGTACATTTAACATGATGACTTAAAGGAACAAAAAAACACATTTTATTTTAATTTTTTAACAATTATGCACATGTATTTTAAATTAATTACATTTTTCTGTTTTTTTTATTTTTAAAGCGCGGCAGTCGCCGCGCTGCGCATGTGCGACACTCCTTGGATATCTTCCCATCACCTAGAAAATACCTAGTAATTAAAGCTTCGTAACGTCTCAGTTTGTACTCGTTGATCTGCGCAACAGTCAAAGTCGCCATCTTTCAAGTTGTTTATATGAGACCCATATATCTCACGCATGCGTGGCACGACGACTACCGCTCTTTAAATACTCGTAATCTTGTTGCCATCAACGCGGCCGATGTCGCCAACCACATGGACGCCATCAATGGTGAGAACGACCCTTTTTTGCATTGTTCGTTTACACACAGCCATTCTAGAGTGACTGTGGTGTAACTTGACCTCGAAAGCCCCTTCGTTCTCGCCTAGGGGCTTTCGCGGTCAGTCGACAAGTCCCTGTGGTTTACACGACCACATTGAGAACTTATATCATATATCGACGATGGGGGCGCCTATCTGTACCCGAGCGATGAAAGATAGAGGTTATTGTTTTCTCGGCCTCTATATACCAGCAAGTAGAACTGGGCATTGCACCGAGGAGTGCAGCTAAGCGAAGCACAGTGGTACAGAAAGTAAAACGATCGAGTCGCACTGTAACATAAAGTTTTACGTAAGGTGAGTTGTAAATTTCGTGACATGGTTGAATACGATACAATCTATTTATCCAATATATGTGTCCCAGGTTGCATCCAACACGGTTACCGTGCATCCAACACGGTTACCGTGCATCCAACAATCTGATTAGCCGAGCAAGCTACGGCCGCTAAACTACATTGAAATGCAAAGCCTACAGGTATGGTTTAAACGCCCGATATTTGTTCAATCGCTATTATTTTCCGGGTCTCTGTAATACTATTCTAGAAAAGTATAGAAAAGGGCATTGCCACCTCCCACTATAGCAGGCTAAGAAGCGAGGCTCAGTGAAACGATCGTTCATTCTATCAAGCCGTACAACCGCGATCGCATTATAAGTAAGGTGAGTTGTACATTTTATTCGCAAGGGTGAATAAAAATGCAATCATCTACTAGTATTTAGCCATATATTTTTAGTGCCCCAGGATGCACTGGATAAACCGGGTCAAGCTAGGGACACCCAACTTTGAAGGTAAGATTACCCGATCACTGGCTTATTGCATTGAGTCGGCAAGTGGAGCAGTGAGGTATACTTTCCCTCATTTTTAAATCAGGTTATTCCATGGCAAACATTGGTACTTCAGTTGATGCATGTGGTGTTATTTATAGTAACATTTAGGGAAAGTTGGAATCACAGATTAATTTCTAATTTGTTTTTTCCTGTTGCTATATCTCAATACCATTGAGCTTATACACTGTAACCTCAGTATAATGAACACCGTTATAATGAACTTCTTGATATAATGAACACATAGCGTGTCTCCCTCTCACAACAAACCCAATGTATTATGTACTTCATTATAAT